CTTGCAAGAAAATCTGGGAGGCAAGGCACTTCCAGCTGCTGGAGTGAGACTGTGAAGGTGAGGTGAAGAGACTGTGAAGTGGTAAAGTCTTTGTCTGCTGGTGGACCTGGGCAAGCTGATTGCAGAGCACAGAAGAGGAAGGAAAAGCTGGAACTTGCTGGCAGTTTCAGAGAGTAATGGCCACCGCTTCACTTCCAATTCCAATACTGATGTAGATTAATCTTTTGACCAACTCTAATTTACAGCCATTCAGATAGACAAGTGTCTGATCTTTGACAAACCTGACTAAAAGAAGTGATGACAAAAGGATTCCTTATTCAATAAACGGTGCTGGGATAACTGGTTAACCATATGCAGAAAGTTGAAACTGAACCCCTTCCTTATACAATATACAAAAATTATCTCAAGACAGATTAAAGACTTAAATGTAAAACCCAAAGCTGTAAAAACCCTGAAAGACAGCCTTGACAGTATAATTCTGGACATGGGAATGGGCAAAGATTTATGACGAAGATGCCAAAAGCAATTGCAACAAAAGAAAAATTGACAAATGAGATCTAATTAAAGAGCTTCTGGACAGCAAAAGAAACTATCAACAAACATACAACCTACAGAATGGGAGAAAATGTTTGCCAACTATGCATCTGACAAAGGTCCAATATCCAATATCTATAAGGAACTTAAACAAATTTACAAGAAAAAACAACCCCATTAAAAAATGGGCAAAGTACATGAACAGACACTTTTGAGAAGAAGATACATATGTGGCCAAGCAACATATGAAAAAAAAAAAAAGCTCAGTATCACTGACTGATAGAGAAATACAAAACAAAACCATGATGAGATACCATCTCACACCAGTCAGAATGGCTAGTATTAAAAAAACAAAAAATAACAGATGTAGTGTATGGCCATACCACCCTGAACATGCCTGATCTCATCTGATCTTGTAAACTAAGCAGGATTGAGCCTCATTAGTACTAGCCGGGCACAGTGGCTCACGCCTATAATCCCAGCACTTTGGGAGGCCAAGGAGGGTGGATTACAAGGTCAGGAGTTCAAGACCAGCCTGGCCCATATGGTGAAACATGTCTCTTCTAAAAATACAAAAAAAAATTAGCTGGGCTTGTGCCTGTAGTCCCAGCTGCCCAGGAGGCTGACGCAGGAGAGTTGCTTAAACCTGAGAGGTGGAGGTTGCAGTGAGCTGAGATTGCGCCACTGCGCTCCATCCTGGGCAACAGAGCAAGACTTCATCTCTAAATAAATAAATTAAAATAACAGATGCTGGTGAGGTTGTCGAGAAAATAATGTTGATGGGAGTGTAAATTAGTTCCACCATTGTGGAAATAATTGTGGTAATTTCCTCAAAGAGCTAAAAACAGAACAATCATTTGACCCAGTAATTTCATTACTGGATGTATATCTAAATGAATTTAAATCATAACACCATAAAGACACATGCGCACATATGTTCACTGCAGCGCTATTCACAAGAGCAAAGACAATGGAATCACCTACATGCCCATCAGTGGCAGATTGGATAAAGAAAATGTGATAAACACACCATTGAATACTATGTAGCCATAAAAAGGGACAAGATCCTGTTTTTTATAGGTACGTGGAGGTTCCTGGAGGCCATCATCTTTAGCAAACTAATGCAGGAACAGAAAACCAAATGTCGCATGTTCGGCATGTTTGCACTTCTAAGTGGGAGCTAAATGATGTGAACACATGGACACAAAGAGGCAAACAATAGACACTGGGGCCTAGTTGAGGGTGGAGGGTGGGAGGAGGGAGAGGATCGGAAAAAAATAACTATTGGGTACTAGGCTTCTATGACAATCTGTACAATAAACTCCCATGACATGAATTTATATAACCTGCGCATGTACCGCTGAACCTAAAAGTTAAAAAAATCCTTAACAGTATTTCCTAG